TTTACTACATATATACATATATCTATATATATATATACTAATCTGGTCTAATGGGCAACGAACAACAGCCTGTCGGAACAAGAAAAAAAAACTTTTTTTATAAAAGGCAGTGCGGTAGTTTGACTGTGGCACACGACGTGGCCTTGACTACTAACAAGTTGCTGTGGTGTGCTGGCCTTGTTGCTTGCATGCAAAATGCGAATGCATTGTTGAAAATAATAATAATAATTATTAACAAGTTATTTTTTTCTGATTAATAAGTGCTAAAACGCGTGTGCCTCGCTCAAATTTACTATCATATCTGAGCCACGTTAAGGGCTACGTATATGTCTCAAAATTTTACTGATAAACATATCCCCCGTGTGTGTAATTATGCGCCGGGAAAAGTAACAACCAAGTCAGGGATTGTCCAAATGTGCCAGCTCTGAGCGTCGAAAGTAATAGAAATCAGGACTGGCTCAGATATGATGAGCTCTGTTACGTCCGTTTGTTTTTTCCACCTTTAATTCATTCATTTACATATTTTTCAATATCAATTCGTACTCATTCAATGTACTAATTGAAGACTCGCTGCTTACTTCTCGGTGAGGGTTATTATTTTCGAAGAACATACCAACATTGACCATAAAGATTATTTGAAAGAGAGAAGTAATGAATCAGTTGTGTATTTTAACAATTGTACAGCACGGGGTCCTATTTTGACTTATTTTATACTTACTACATACTTCGTTAGTTCTCTCTTCAGCTGGATCTGAATACTAATAAGTTTTCGTTTTCATTTATATTTCACATTTTTCTATTTGTCTTTTTCCTACTTTCATAACGGTGCTTGTCATCCTATTTTCAATTTAACCTGTTTTATGAAATTACCCATAAAGAATCGTTTGTTTTTTACTACTTGTTTTCGTAAATTCAAAATGAAAATTGTCAATCCTGATCAATAAAGGGAAAAATTCAAACGGACAATTCAACAATTTTGCAGGGTTATCCAAAAAGAAAACAGGGCAATTTTTACGTGTGGCGTTACTTCGCCAAACTAACAACAATTTTTTACTACTTATGTTACTGTTGTCATTAGAATGTTTTGCTTTTTAATGCTCTTTATTTTATCGTTACAAGAACGCTGACTATTTGATTTATTATTATTGTCCATGTGCCTCCTTTTTTATTATCGACATAAAGCTCTTTTCGTTTGGTTAATTTCGACTTTATACGTTAAGTATTCCTACTGCCCCGCCCCTGTTTTTTTGCTTAACGCTTACTATGCTTTTAGTTGCTTTATTTTTGCTTTTGTTTATTCCTTTTATTTTTAATTATTTTTTATGTTGATATCGCTTTGCTTGGCAGGCAGTAGAAAGCCAATCCATACAGTGTTGTGGCTGAAACGCCAGTATTATTATTTTTGGATAACCCTTTTTTAAGCTTCCGCATTGTTTTGATTATTATTTAGTTTTAATATATTCTATCTGAGCCCCTTACGGGCTAGGCACGCCAAATTTCAGTGTATGTATCGCATTTTAATTATTGAACATCGAAGGTATAATTCAAACGTATATTTTTTTCGATGATTAAAGAGGATTCGCTCTAATTTATATTGATATTTTGAAAGGGTGCATACAAGTTTTTCCGTTGAATTTTAGCGTGCCAACGTTTTTTTTTTTATATGAATTTTTTAACAATTTAATATAATAACGCATAGGAGTTGGACGAAGGAACAACGCTGAGTTCTACCGGTTTATTCTATGAAGTGAGCTGCGGAACGCAGGTTTGTCCGAGCCCTTTCTAAAGTTTCCTATTCGCCCTCCCCAATTTTTATCCAAATATCCGTTTGTACTAATCAGCAATACTGTTGTTGCTCAGGTATTTTAATTGCTATCGTGGATATCAAGTAAGTTCAAAAAGTATACCTGTTTTGTGTTTAAACGTTATACCGTATTCCCTCATTACGTTTTTTTACCTATAATTCTACCTAACGAACGTGTTACAATGTAACGAATAGGAGTTAGTTTTTATCGTAATGTATGTTTTGTTATAAGATTACCAAATTATTTGATTACATACTTCAAAAGTTGTTTGTACCATTGTAACACTTATTATCCTACAAAATAGAAAGGGAATGGACATGAAAAAAAATATATCGCGTAGCCTTACCTCTGTTTTGAAATAACTCGTTTACTTATCAAAGAATAATAGAATAATTTGAGAATTACTATGGAGGCTGTATAAGATCTATTAAGCAAGCGCTTTTCGAACTTGACCTATTATTAATGATGAGTACTTGTTCAAATTATTTTTATTTAAATAGAGAATTTCTAAAAGCGTCTGTTTATTTTAAGCTTGCCTACCATACGTGGAACATTGGGGTTACAGATTTTAACTAACGAGTTATTTTCATTCATCTTTTTGTAGGCTGGCCGTGGGCGTGGGGTGGTGGCGCGTGGGCGAGCCGGTGGGCCCCCGGCCCGTGGGGCGCCGGCCAACCGGGCGGGCCGGGGCGCAGCGGCCGTGGCCCGTGGAGCGGCCCGCCAGCCCGCTCGTGGAGCAGCCCGCGCCAAGGGAAGTTTACCAGGTACGATTTTTTGTAGATGACATTTTTTTGTGTGGGCAAATTTGAAAAAACGTTATTTTTGCAGATTGTAGTGATAAAAAACGTTCTGTTTCAGCTGTTTTGTTGGCTGTTGCTTAGTTTTTTTCTTGAACGTCTGCAAACGGAGTTAGGATGACAAATCTTAGTCTTTATTTGTATGTACCCCTTCATTAACCAGTTTCATTTATCTAGATTCTATCCTTCCTTTTTTACCCCTCCTATCTTACAACTCAAAACATGGGAGATTTAAACATTTTTGTTTTCGTTATTTATTATAATTAAGAAAAACTAAGTAAACGTTTGGCAAACAAAACAGCCGTCGAAACAGTGAAAATCTCCCATGTTAAAAATCCTTTTTTTACGGTAGAATTGTTATCTAATTGGTGATGTGCATTATGATTAATAAATTAATATATCAATTAATGGGCTAGAAATTCTTCTCGAAGATGTTTTCTTTTTCACTTCAGAGATGTATTATTTTTCTAATTACATAAAAAAAGCTTAATGCACATTATCTGTATAAAAAAGAATTTATTTTAATTATTTAAATTGAATTTAGGTAAGCGGAAGTTAGACGGGGGTCACCAGAACCAGGGGGAGTCAAAGCGCAGATACCAGAGCAGCTGGGGTAACCAGCCACTGGCGCAGCAGCCGCTGGGAGCAGCGGGCCTGAACGGAGAGCAGCAATGGTACCAGGATTCGTACGCCGCCTGGAGCTAAACAACAAAATCGTTACTATGCAACAATAGCAAGCTAGTAAGCAAACCAACCAACCAACGTCGTGTTGTCGTCGTCTTCGTGTGTAGTTTTTCACACACTTTCCAATTTTTTTCTTCCCCCCTTTTTCTTTTTTCGATCAACAAAATAGCAACAGAAACAGCAGCAGAAGCAACAACAAAACAGCGGAAAAGTAAAAGTGAGTGCCTGATAAGAAGAAGCGAGTGTTTAATAGCGGACGCCCGCGCAGTGTATAAAAAAAAGGAGACCTATTGTGTGTGTCCGCTTGCGTATACGTGTATAGTATGTATGGTGTGTTCGTACTAGTGGTTTTGCGTCCGGGAGAAGCAAATAAGCGGAAAGGGAATAGGAGTGTTAATAGATCCGTCTTGACCGTTAGGCTGGTTCAGTAATGGTATACGCGTGATACGCAAGCCTGACCTACCGGTTATTAATGAAGCCAGCCAATCATATCCATTGTCGTCAACCAGTGGCGCCACCACTACGTTAGTAACATGTTTCGAAGTTATCCACAACATTTAAATAATAGTATTTATCTTATGGTGTCCCCGGGATATATGTATGTATTTGTTTTATTTTTTCATTTTTAAATGACAAGAGCGCATTACAAAATATTTTCTGTCTTGGTTGATTAATGAACAATACTTGCTTTCAGCGATACCAATCGTTTCTTTGATGGATGTTTTAAAGGGAAACTGACAAAAAAAAAGTTAAAATATAGCATAGTCGTATATTAAATAAAAATAGATTTAATAATAGTAATTAACACGAGATTGATATGTTGTTGGACTTTTCCAAATTTTGTACTTGTTCTGCTCGCTAAGCTATTGCTCAGTAAATTGTTGTTTGACGGTTTTATTTATGTCCTTTTAAATATGACGTTGTGTTGTGTTGTTTTTCTCTCGTTTAGTTTTTGATTTACTTAGTGTTTTTATGTAAGTATATATATAAATCGAAAGCGCTTAAAAGAATTATTTGCACCACCGCGCAGGCACTGCGCCCCTTGTTCTGGAGACTGTTACATCGCGGGGGCGCCGCCCGTTTATCGAACATATTATATATCGGATCCTAAACTTCTATTTTATTTCTGACGATTAATTTTTAGTATTTGGAAGGGTAGCAGTTGTGACGACAATACGTTATCAGCTTCCACCCTCTGTGTCTTAAATTTCTTGCGCGTTCGTATCGTTCAAAAAAATGATACGTGATCTTTTTTCCTTCTTTCGCGATTAGTTTTTTGCTAGGTAATCTTTGAATAATAAGTGCTTGAAATGGGAGGGAGGCAACATTATACCTATTCAATTTGGGGCGGGCTTACGGCCGTGGCGTTCAAAAAAATTGCATGCTGATGTTTTCAAATTTCATTTTGTTCTTTAAAAAGATCTCATGAAGGCAAATGACGAGAATAAGTAAATATTGTTATATATGTGCGGGTTGTTTGGCATTATAAGTGATTTTAATATCGGAATGATGCGGCTGCCTGGCGCGCGAACAGACCGCAGTAAAGTCCGGTCGAAACTGGACTTTTTAGAAAAAAAAATGGATGGAGGTTGGGGACGCGCAAAATTCGTATTCTCAACCGTTGCGCGCAGTAATGAAGCATGTCTAATTGGAGTGAATAATATGCTAACATCATCTAGCTAGTACTACTTTACTACTACATACAATAGTAATAATGGATAATAGAAATAGTAAAGTTATTATTATTAATGTATAACAGTGATGATACCCGCAATTTTTTTTATTCTTGTGGGCGTTAATGATGATGACGCGTCCGCTTTGTGATGTATTTTATTACGATAATAACGATAACTTGCGGTAGCAGTGAACGAAAAGAAAATTGTATTTTTCTTAAATGTATATCTAAATTAAACCTTTTTCAGCTGTTGGTGAAAGATAAAAAATCATTTGGTGTTTAAACGATGCATTTACCATGTTTTTTTTTTTCATTTTCTTTGTATTCAAAAAGGCGTGCAAAAATGATAACAAAGAAGGTTCGATTTTAACTTTTGTTACTGTTTGACATCGTTGCATCGTGTATATATTATAAATGTATGTATTACATGCGTATTTGTCAAAATGACTAGTTCAGAAGAAAAGTATTTTCTAACCTCCGTATTGTTTTCTTTTTAATTATCATTTTTGGTTGCTTTCACTTCCCCCCATATACAAATGTCCCTCATCAGACTGGAATGACACTATCTAGGACTACTACTGTAATCACGTTTGCCATTTTTATGTGTGAATTAATAATTACTATGCAGTTTTTCTTTTTTTCTATTATAATTAATTATGCCGTTTTTAATTTAATTTGTAAATGGAATGATGCTAAGATTTTACATTTGTGCAGATTCTCTCCTTTTATTTATATTAATTAAAGTAATAATGGAATTGTTATTTCTTAACCGTAAATGAAAGAACTGATCTACACGTCTAAATAAACAGTTGTATGTGTATTACACTTCAGTTTGTCTTTTTTTATAATAAATTTTACTCCTACTGCTGACAAAAAGGTGACATTTAATTAGGTGGAGATATAAATTAAATAATGTCTTAGATATTGGTAAAAATGATACGGTATGAACAAGAAAGTGAAACTTTAGCTAATAACCATACTCAGTTTGCTCAGATTTGAAAATTAAGTAATTGTTGCTGTGAAGTGGCATGTTCTTAAAATAATTTAATTGTTTACGAGATACTTTTCAGAAAAAGAAGACACTAAACAAGGATAAGGTAAAATGTGGTGCCAGAATATCATGCAATAAAAAACGTTTATTGAGTAAAAATTCTTCGGTTGTAATGTTACGAATGTGGATAAAGTTACACACAATCGTTTTTATTTTTTTAAAGATAAGTAAAACTTCGTAACAGTACAAACAATGAATTACACAGGTCTGCGAAATTTTTTTTTTGAAAAGTTTTTTTCTTAAATTGTTAATATTTGTCGTAATTGTCTTAAAAGTAATAGAAAACTATATTCATATGGTTTATACCACGTCACATTAACCCATAAATGCTCAGAGAACATTTGAACCCTTTCCACGTAATGAGTGCGACGAAAAAATATTCGATAACCAGTGTTTCTATGTTTTTAACGATGCTCTTTTCGATGGTGTTGGTTAAAAATATCTCCGACAATATTAAAGCATAGAAAAATCGAAAATAAACAAAAANACATGGATTTTTAGTTATTCTTTATAATTTTCTAATAGTCGAAGACATTACTTATTTTCTGAGAAAATGGGTGGGATATGGTAGTGTTAGGGTGTACTAAAAGACAATATAATGCTCAGTCAGAGAGTATTAAATAGAAATATAAACTATAAAATGAATTTTGTGAAAAAACAAATAAATTTGCCGATACAAAGAGCTACATACATATATATATACATATATTAATCTACATACAAAAAAAAATGTGACGATACGTTAAAACAAAGTTTATATTTTCAAATTATAGACCAACATTTGCATGCTTAAGATAAATTTATACAAAAAACTTTTTTATCGCAAACCTGTGTTATTAGTTTGTAATAAAAATAAAA